TCACTAGGTGATTTTAGAGATAAATTTGACAAATACGTGAGTGAGAAGAATCATATTGTATTAATAATGGTAGAATTACCGACAATATGTTAAGTAAAAGAACACAAGCGCAACTAACGCGACATTTTATTGTGGTAATATTTCGCTCTCCAGGAGCTTTGTCCAGCCGTTACCGTAACAACTTGATAAAGCTCCTGGAGAGCGAAACGTTGCCACAGTAAAATGTTGCATTAGTTACCCTTGTGTCATTTACTCAAGAATCACATCATTGATGATATAGAATACGGACATGTTGATGAATAAGTTACATGTATAACACTTGGTTATCTTTATTGCTGATACTTCAAAAAACTTTTCATCAATAAAGATTCTCAGGTGTCGCACATCAGTCTTATTCATCATGAGCGAGAAAGGTTGGATTTGAAGGGGACTTACAGTGGGTTAGTTGGAAGATGAATACATGTGCAACACACGAGTATCTTTATTATGAAGACGTTTCGCCAGCAAGTGATAATAATAGTAATAATAATAATAATAATAATAATAATAATAATAATAATAATAATAATAATAATAATAATAATAATAATAATAATAATAATCTTCATTGCTATAAGTACATGTACAAGGTATACAGGCCTAACTGACGTCAATGACATAATACTATATATAAAGCCGCTTGTTATGTAGATTATTATTATTATAATCAAGGGGGAAGAGCTAAACCCATAGGATTATACAGCGCCCAGGGGGGGATGTGGAAGGCATTCAGGCTTAATTCGGGGAACTGGAGCACAGATTCAATTCCCTAAATCAAGAGCCCCTCACCAACATCAAGGAACCTTCCATGAGGGGTTGTTATGTAGAGCATTTCGGGAAAATTAGGTCAGTTTTGTCTCAGGATGCGACCCACACCGGTCCATTAATATCCAGGTACCTATTTTATATTGATGGGCGAACATGGACAGTAGGTGTCTTATGAAAACACGTCCTAATGTTTTCTAGCTCCGGACCTAAGTTTTTTGAGTGCGCTAGCGATCGAGCTACGGGACACAGAAGTTACTGCAGGTGTTGAAACTGAAGACAGTAGAGGACGAGGTAATCAGTCCCTCATCCTTGATGAATATGAGATGAACACTTGTCGGTATTTAGAATGTAAACAAATGGTTCAGAGAACCATAAAGTTGATAAATTTATCAACTCGTCGGTATTGTATACCATTACTGCTACCACGGGTAAGTAGGGTTATTAAGAACAGGTCGGACAAATGTTTTAGTATAGTGGGACTTTAGATATGAGAAATACCTGTCAAGCATGGGCCAGTACGCCTTCAGTATTCCTCCCTACTTGTGTTCTTTATTTTATATTATATATATATATATATATATATATATATATATATATATATATATATATATATATATATATATATATATTATATATATATATATATATATATATATCCTAGGTAGTAGGTTGGTAGACAGCAACCGCCCAGGGAGGTACTACCGTCCTGCCAAGTGAGTGTAAAACGAAAACCTGTAATTGTTTTACATGATGGTAGGATGGTTGGTGTCCTTTTTTCTGTCTCATGAACATGCAAGGTTTCAGGTACGTCTTGCTACTTTTACTTGCATTTAGGTCACACTACACATACATGTACAAGCATATATTTACACACACCCCTCTGGGTTTTCTTCTATTTTCTTTCTAGTTCTTGTTCTTGCTTATTTCCTCTTATCTCCATGGGGAAGTGGAACAGAATTCTTCCTCCGTAAGCCATGCGTGTTGTAAGAGGCGACTAAAATGCCGGGAGCAAGGGGCTAGTAACCTCTTCTCCCGTATAAATTTAAAAAGAGAAACTTTCGTTTTTCTTTTTGGGCCACCCTGCCTTGGTGGGATACGGCCGGTTTGCTGAAAAAAAAATATATATATATGTATGTATATATATATATATATATATATATATATATATATATATATATATATATATATATATATATATATATATATATATATATATATATCATTATTATTATAATACTTGTCTGATACAGTACCATGATATCCTGAAATAAAAGATGTTCTTTACATCTCTAATTTTGTGAAAAAAGACACTTCTGTTCACAGGATGGGTATGGGGTGCATAATAAACATATTAAACTAAACTGTGCAATTCAGGGTATTTATTAAAGGAAACATTTTATTAAGACTAATGAAGCCGTTCATGGCGAAGCATTTACTTTAACATGTGTCCTGAACTGTACCTAAGTGTCCTTTTCCACAGTTTGTCTTTATCACCATACCATTTACATTTCTAATATTAAACAAGTGACCTACTTCCACTAGTGGGCCTTGCCCACTAGTGAAGTCATCTCCACTTTACTTCTTACTCGACTATGTAAGTTTTGATCCTCATAACTCTATTTTAGGCTAAGGAATTAATCACCTTAAATCAAGGCTTTTGGGAATGAGCTGAGAGATGGAACACCTCAAAATTACCGGTTAGGTAAGGTTTGTCAGGAAACAGGACAAGTGTTTCCTGACGCTGGTCTTAGTCAGATGATGAACCACCGTTGGAGCTTTAGTCATCTAACCGAGGTCTTCCGCTGGCTTACCGGTTTATCCCTTTAAAAATTATGGTCATAGTTACAACCATTTTTTTTTTTCAAAATTACCTTTCCACTTCTACTGTCTCCGGTATTAAAATCACCTTTGCATCGATTGGAAAAGCCTGCTGTATGGACGAAATGTTTTAACACTAGAGATACAGATACTCAAGTGTTGCCGATATAGTATGAAAAGGAAAAGACTTGGCAGGAGTCGCAACATTTCCCCAAAGACAAGCAGGGGTGCCGCGAGCACACTGAGAGACAACACAATAAGTGTCCTGGGCGCAAGACTGTAAGTTTATTCAGGTATACACAAATACAGTTACATAGATTACCATACATAGCAGCATATGTGTAGAGAACCTAGGATAACCCAAAAAAGTCAGACCTGGAGTTTACCTGGAGAGAGTTCCGGGGGTCAGCGCCCCCGCGGCCCGGTCTGTGACCAGGCCTCCTGGTGGATCAGAGCCTGATCAACCAGGCTATTGCTGCTGGCTGCACGCAAACCAACGTACGAGCCACAGCCCGGCTGATCAGGAACCGACTTTAGGTGCTTGTCCAGTGCCAGCTTGAAGACTGCCAGGGGTCTGTTGGTAATCCCCCTAATGTATGCTGGGAGGCAGCTGAACAGTCTCGGGCCCCTGACACTTATTGTATGGTCTCTTAACGTGCTAGTGACACCCCTGCTTTTCATTGGGGGGATGTTGCATCGTCTGCCAAGTGACTTATTTCCACTGGGGTCCTTTTAATACATTATTATTATACTATAAAGCATATAATATCTTAGTATTATACTATAAAGGATATATACTAGGAATAAGGTAAAATGAGTTATTTATATTTACATTTGTGTTAGCTAAAAGAATAAAAAAATATTCTCCTTACTTTGTCACTACATTCATTAGGTACCTTTCGGCTCTCTTCTTGAACTAGTTCATGCTATGACTGGCTTTGGCATGTGCAGGCAATCTGTTCCATTCCTTTATTGCTGTACAATAAAAGGTGTTTGAAGCCTGGGGTGGCCCGGTGGCCTGGTGGCTCCCGCTTCACATACGGAGGGCCCGGGTTCGATTCCCGGCGGGTGGAAACATTCGACACGTTTCCTTACACCTGTTGTCCTGTTCACCTAGCAGCAAATAGGTACCTGGGTGTTAGTCGACTGGTGTGGGTCGCATCCTGGGGGACAAGATTAAGGACCCCAATGGAAATAAGTTAGACAGTCCTCGATGACGCACTGACTTTCTTGGGTTATCCTGGGTGGCTAACCCTCCGGGGATTAAAAATCCGAACGAAATCTTATCTTATCTTAACAAGCGTAGTCCATATGACATTGTATGAGGGCTAGACATAGGGTCCTGCGAGCCTCAGTAGGTAGACACTGTGCTTGTCTGTAGAGGAACTTCAGTCTGGCATTCGCTTTCTTTACTACACTGTTCCCGATCAGTTCTCCTGACATGCATGGGTCAAAGAGGATTCCCAGATATTTTATTGAGGAAACTGAAGTGATGAGTTCCCCATTACACCGGACATTAAAATTATTTACCCTTCTCAGTTTTTGTTTCGTACCAAAGAGTATGGCTTCAGTTTTCCCGAGGTGTAATGATCGTTGTCTACCAACCATTTGCTGCAGGACTCCAGTTCTAATGTTATTACATTAGCTGTATCTTGTGGGTCTTAACCTAACACTAACAGAGCACTGTCATCCGCATACAGTAGGAGTTTGCAACTGACACTGATGGGCATATCATTTACATAACATAAGAATAAGGGACCCAGAATACTACCTTGGGGAACTGTTCAACTGCCTCCCAGCATATATAAGGGGATTACCAACAGACCCATGGCTGTCTTCAAGAAGGCACTGGACAGGCACCTAAAGTCAGTACTTGACCAGCCGGGCTGTGGTTCGTACGTCAGCTTGCGTGAGACCAGCAGTAACAGCCTGTTTGATCAGACCCTGATCCACCATGAGGCCTGATCTCAGACCGGGCCGCGGGGGCGTTGACCCCCGAAACCCTCTCCAGGTATATTCATATGGCCTGGTCATCCTGGGGCCGGTCACTAACCATTGTGGAATAGGAGTGGTTTTCTCGCTGTCCCCACCCCTCATGGAAGGTTCCTTGATGTTGGTGAGGGGCTCTTGATTTAGGGAATTGGATCTGTGCTCCAGTTCCCCGAATTAAGCCTGAATGCCTTCCACATCCCCCCCTCCCCTGGACGCTGTATAATCCTACGGGTTTAGCGCTTCCCCCTTGATTATAATAATAATAATAATCGCTGTCCCCAGGTTTTGGGTTGCGAGGTCCCTCTGTTTAGGAACATTTATTCCCAAGTACGTGCAATATTTTAGTTTCCAATTTGGGCAATATTCTTGCTCCCATTTGAGACAGTATTTGAACTACAAATACCGGGAGGGGGCGGTCGGACAACTCCCGCTGTGGTGTCCCTTAATGACTACTACAATAACATATTTCTAGGCAAAAACGTCTGCATCAAAAGATATTTGGCACAAGAGATATCATACAACCTACATAATAAGTGACAACACTCCAGTTGGTGTAGTTATCGTGAGGTAGAGAAACCTCTAAGTAAACTACACATCCTCAAGAAGAAGATATATTGCAAGTTACTGGTGTAGTCATCGTGACAACCCTCTAAGTTAATTACAGTCCCCTAGAAGATATTTTACGAGTTTCTAGTCATTATGGCTGAGACAAAACTCTGGTGTAAGGATTCCAGGGCAAACAAGGAGAGGTTTAACGACGAGGGTTATTCAACATTAACCTCTGATGAACAAGTAGGTAATTATGTGGCATGACATTGCTTAGGTAATGACTGAGAGGGTTGTAGCTAATGATTGGCTTGAAAATATATATGTATGCAAGAAAAAGCAGATTTTCTTGATTATTAACCCTGAGGGCTGGTAACCCAGGATAACCCAATAAAATCAGGATGCCATTGAGAACTGTCTTCATTTCTATCAGGGTCGTCTAATACTCTCCCCCAGGATGTAACCCATACCAGATGACTAACACTAACGTACCTATTTACAGTTAGATGAACAGGGGCAAAGGTGTAATGAAACATGCCCAGCGTTTTGTACTGGGAATCGAATCGGTCCCCTCTGCATACAAGTCGAGGCATTCTACCAGCTGAGCCACGAGGCACGCTTTAGGCTAACTTATGCTCTGTAGTAATATACTCATAGTTTATTTTTAATGTGCAGTTAGAATGGTGTCCAGATCAAGGATGGCAAATACAAAGTATGTAATTGAGTTTTTATTTAGTTTTCATGTTTAAATTTTTGCAATCCTCTTGTATAATATAAGAGAAGTTAACCCAGGATAACCTAGTAATTGAAACAACATGACTTATTTCCATTGTAGTCCTTGAGTAAATATTATGATGTGTTCAGCATGCAGTGCAGATGTATTATTTGGCTGGAAAACTCTGAATTGGCAGAGGTTTGTTATGATGCGACTTAACAGTATCGAAGTGTATTGGAAGCAACTGTTTTCGCAGTGAATAGAATTTTTTGTAACTTAAAAGCAATTAGGGACCAATTTGTATTTTAAAATATCCATTTAATTTGTTTTTAAAATAAATTGTTTCATGAGAGCTGATGTAATATACCAGTACCTGAATATTCCAGACACTTATCATTTGCCTCACCACTCAAGAGAATTGTACCCAAAGTTAAAATTTTAATGTGAGATTTGTAAACCTGGTTTATATTGTAGTTTTTCAGTCTAAGCAACTGTTACTTGGAGAATATCTGGAGAGGGTTTTGTTACATTCTTTAATACTGTTGTAGTAAAGTGGTTTCCATGAAACAAGAAATTAATTTGTACATACTTTGGACAGGTATACTGGGAGTGTTTGAGCTGAAATTTAATACATTAATCTCTTCATTATATAGTGTGTGGAAGTTTATTTTTTAATTGTAATCCAAAAGTTTATTTTGGTTTCTTTGTTAGAGTGCAATTCAGTATTAATATATATCTCCTTAATACTTATTGGTTTCTGTTTACTCAGGAAAAGTAAGAAAACAAACGTGCGAATCTAATTCAGTACCGTAATAAAGAAATAGTAATATACTGCAAACTTTCAAAATATACCATATCCTAATTTTTTATCGGCCATCTGTGTGATGTATGGCAGATTGCAGTTGTACAGTATGTACTGGTACATAATCCTTTTCTAAAATGCTATAATGAAATAATATACTATATGTAGAAGGTTATGACCATAAGGGGATGTCTGTTAACATGTTGCTCCTGTGTATACTATATACGGTATATGGAAAATTAAATTTTTTAAACAACACATTCAAATTGTTTAGTAATTAAAAGTGATTAAGGTTTGTGATCAAAGACTTTCTTTTCAGAAAAGAGTGGAAAAAAGTGTAGGTGCTATATATAACTACTTCTTGAACAGTGAGAGTGATTCAAAGGAACCCATATTGCATCGTGAAAGGCACATTACATATCTTAAGAAAGGACTTAAAAATCTTCCTGAAGGTTTTGTGGTGAGTTCCATCTTTCATATGTAAATTTAACATGAGTGTATGACGGAACTAGACTAGTTTACTAGATAATTCTGTTAAATATTCATGTATGCACCACTTATATAGTCATTCAATTTTAGTTCAGGTACCATTTTAAAAGGAAAAACTTGAAGTAATATTCTTTTGCCTAAAAAATATATATTACTAACACATTTTTTACAGTATTATGAGATGCAGATTACAATCAGGTAATTTTAACTTAACATCAGATAATTTTAACATAACATGCTTTCCTTGCAGAGTTTGGATGCAAGTCGTCCGTGGTTAGTGTATTGGGCTGTACATGCTTTAGAACTTTTAGATGTGAAGCTGACAAATGAGGAAGCTGCTGGCATTATAGGTTTCTTGAAGCACTGTCAGAACCCAACTGGTGGCTTTGGAGGTGGTCCCGGCCAGTATTCTCACCTAGCACCAACATATGCTGCAGTTAATGCTCTTGCCATTATTGGCACTCAGGAAGCTTATGATGCCATTAATAGGTAATGTATTTTTTTTTTTTTTTTTTTTACAATATTGAGCATTTTTGTATAATTGAAATGAAGTTATACCAATTAATTTGTATTAGAATAAAGAAACACAACATTTTCTTTGGTTGTGAATTATTTTTATGGCTATTATAATGTATGACACTTTCTTTGGATATGTCACGGGCATTACTGAGGACGTGCTAGGCAACTGGTTAAGAAATGTGCATTGTTAACAAACTGTAACATTTCTTATTCCTGTTTGATGATTATTTCTCAGATTTTTTACTTTTTGAAATTTTTTGGATCACGCATTCTCAATCAGGCATTCTTGCTCTCATATCATTGACATCATTTAGTGTTTTTTTTTTTTTTTGTCTTCCCATATAACAATGGATGCTACATTAAATCTAGACTTTTTTTTATGTTTAAACTTGCTGACATTTACTGTACATACAAAATTTGACAGGGATTGAAAAATAGGATATAAAATATAATAGGAAAGATATATGTTTTATTAATCAGTGAAATTCCAACAGAACTGTCAATGTATGACTAAATCCTTAATTTCTTTCTTATGAGCTGGATCACGGGTGAGCATTTAGGTGGCACATACTGTCTGCCAAAACATTGTCTGCAACAAATTTTTCACTTTTCAGCATGTGGGTGAGCAGAACAGTTTCAGAGCAGCAGCAGAATATTAATTAACCATGGCAAGACAGCTAATGAACAAATTTTTTTTTTCTTTTAGCCAGATTCACTCGCATAAATTTTTTACGCGCACACACGGACACGCGTACACACACACACACACACACACACACACACACACACACACACACACACACACACACACACACACACACACCATACACACACACACACACACACGGACACACACACACACACGACACACACACACACACACACGACACACACACACACACAACGGACACACACACACACACGACACACACACACACACACACACACACACACACACACACACACACACAGGACACACACACACACACACCGGACACACACACACGGACACACACACACACACACACACACACACACAGGACACTCACACACACACACACACGGACACACACACACACACACATGGACACACACACACACACATGGACACACACACACACACACACACACACACACACGGAGACACACACACACACCACACACACACACACACACACACGGACACACACACGGACACACACACACGGACACACACACGGACACACACACGGACACACACACACACACACACACACACGGACACACACACACACACACACACACACACACACACACACACACACACACACACACACACACACACACACACACACACGGACACACACACGGACACACACGCACATGGACACACACACACACGGACACACACACGGACACACACATACATACATACATGTACAGTGGACCCCCGGTTAACGATATTTTTTCACTCCAGAAGTATGTTCAGGTGCCAGTACTGACCGAATTTATTCCCATAAGGAATATTGTGAAGTAGATTAGTCCATTTCAGACCCCCAAACATACACGTACAAACGCACTAACATAAATACACTTACATAATTGGTCGCATTCGGAGGTGATCGTTATGCGGGGGTTCACTGTACATACATACATATATGCAAAGTCATGAAGATTGGGGAAGGGCAAAGAAGACCGCATACACAATATAGTTTAGATGGCCAAAGACTGCAAACCTCACTCAAGGAAAAAGATATGGTGGTAAGTATAACACCGAGCATATCTCCTGAGGCGCACATCCATCACATAACTGCTGCAGCATACGGGCGCCTGGCAAACCTATGGATAGCGTTCCGATACCTCAGTAAGGATTCGTTCAAGTCTCTGTATACCATTTACATCAGGCCCATACTGGAGTATGCAGCACCAGCTTGGCATCCACACCTGGTCAAGCATGTCAAGAAATTAGAGAAAGTGCAAAGGTTTGCAACAAGACTAGTCCCAGAACTAAGGGGATTGTCCTACGAAGAAAGGTTGAGGGAAATCAGCCTGATGACACTGGAGGACAGGAGGGTCAGGGGAGACACACACACACACACACACACACACACACACACACACACACACACACACACACACACACACACACACACACACACACACACACACACAGGGGAGGGGGGCAGGCAGGCAGGTAGACAGACACCCAGATACAACAGCTTAGAAGAATATATAAAGACACAATATAAAAAGTGACCTGAAGTAATATAATAAACTCCATATAGAATATAATATCAGGGCCCCAATTATATATATATTTTTTTTCAACAAGTCGGCTGTCTCCCACCGAGGCAGGGTGACCCAAAAAAGAAAGAAAATCCCCAAAAAGAAAATACTTTCATCATCATTCAACACTTTCACCACACTCGCACATTATCACTGTTTTTGCAGAGGTGCTCAGAATACAACAGTTTAGAAGCATATACATATAAAGATACACAACATATCCCTCCAAACTGCCAATATCCCAATCCCCTCCTTTAAAGTGCAGGCATTGTACTTCCCATTTCCAGGACTCAAGTCCGACTATATGAAAATAACTGGTTTCCCTGAATCCCTTCACTAAATGTTACCTTGCTCACACTCCAACAGATCGTCAGGTCCCAAGTACCATTCGCCTCCATTCACTCCTATCTAACACGCTCACGCACGCTTGCTGGAAGTCCAAGCCCCTCGCCCACAAAACCTCCTTTACCCCTTCCAACCCTTTCGAGGACGACCCCTACCCCGCCTTCCTTCCCCTATAGATTTATATGCTTTCCATGTCATTCTACTTTGATCCATTCTCTCTAAATGACCAAACCACCTCAACAACCCCTCTTCTGCCCTCTGACTAATACTTTTATGAACTCCACACCTACATACTCCACACCTATATACATACTATACCTTCCTATTACACATCCCTCTAAACTGCCAATATCCCAAACCCCTCCTTTAAAGTGCAGACATTGTACTTCCCATTTCCAGTACTCGAGTTCGGCTACATAAAAATAACCAGTTTCCCTGAATCCCTTCACTAAATATTACCCTGCTCACACTCCAAAAGCTCATCAGGTCCAAAATAAGAGCCACCCATTTCTTGTTTTCATCAGTTGCCCTCATTTTCTTATTCTATGAAATAAGGTACTGTACTTCCTCGTAATGTTATATCATTTAAAATGGCATCACACATATAGCATATTAATCTGGCATTCTATTCATTCACTTCAGAGGTATATTTTGTATACTAACAGTCTCAAGTGCTGTTTTTGTATTCTTACAAAAATTATTTTTTTTTCATGTTTTATTTAATGTTTTCTATGTACAGTATATAGTCTAGTTATCCTTTCTCATTTAAAATCTTTAGGGAAAAGCTGCAAGAATTTTTGTGGGAAATGCACAATGATGAAGGAGCATTTCGTATGCATGAAGGTGGAGAAGTGGACATTCGTGGAGCTTATTGTGCTGTATCTGTTGCACGACTCACCAATGTGTATACAGACCAACTCTTCTCTGGGACTGCCCATTGGATAATGCGGTAAGAATTTTCTAATGTTGCCATAACAGGCCACCTTGATACTGGTTGTTGGAATGTTATGGCAATATGACATGTTTTTTGTGTTCCTCCTGTTTTCTCCATCAGTTCAATGGTTACCATATCTTTCCATCGCACTAGCCTCCTGTACTGTAAATTTCCATTTCATCCCTATCATTCATCACTACATACACATCTCTATATATGTACACAGTATCTCTGCTCTGGTAGGAAATGGCCTGATAATTGGAGTATGGCTGTAAGCTGACAAGTGGTTTTAAAAAACATGTTCATATAGCAAAGGGAAATGTTTTGCTGTGCTGGTCTTTTTAACCAGATGGTTTAATAATGAAGTGTAACAATGTAAAATGTCTTGGGAATACTGAATCTAAATTCCTTAATGGTTTTTGTGTATTCACTTCAAATTACTAATTTTTGTAATTAAAATAAAAAATATAAATATTTTTATCAGTTTTAAGCACATGCCTGAAGCATGAATGGGTTTGGTCACCACCCTTTTAAGTTCTCTGGCATGGCCAGGGACTGCTATCTTTCCTCGGATCAAACCTGAATACCCCAACCCCTTTCCCTTAATGCAGGGTCTCTGCCTTTGTTGTATCACTTGTGATAATCTCTTCACTTTCTGATTCTGCTGCTATCCTCTACTCATTACCTCTGTTGCTTCCTCTCTGATATTTCTTGTACCTCTGAAGTTCAACTCTATGGCCCTTACAGGCTTAGTGCTTTCCCATTAATATAAAATGAACAATCTTATGTATCATTATAATGACTTTAAACCCTAGGAACGAGTAACCACCCCTTTCCCCAAAGTTAAGTACATTCTTGCTTTTACTTTTTTACATAGAGTACAATACTGGTAACTGTTTTCATTAGTACATCCTCATAATAATAATAAATTTTAACCTGTATTTTGTGAAGTAGCCATTGATAAGAGAATCTTCTTCTTTCAACAAATCGGCTGTATCCCACCGAAGCAGGGTGGCCCAAAAAGAAAAACGAAAGTTTCTCTTTTTAACTTTAGTAATGTATACAGGAGAAGGGGTTACTAGCCCCTTGCTCCCAGCATTTTAGTTGCCTCTTACAAGACATGGCTTATGGAGGAAGAATTCTATTCCACTTCCCCATGGAAATAAGAAGTAAACAAGAACAAGAACTAGTAAGAAAATAGAAGAAAACCCAGAGGGGTGTGTGTATATATGCTTGTACATACATGGATAGTGTGGCCTAAGTGTAAGTAAAAGTAGCAAGATGTACCTGAAATCTTGCATGTTTATCAGACAGAAGAAAGACACCAGCAATCCTACCATCATGTAAAACAATTGCAGGATTTTGTTTTATACTCGGCAGGGTGGTAGCACTTCCCTGGGCTGTTGCTGTCTATCAACCTACTACCTAGGTGATAAGAGAATATAGAAAATATTTTTATGATGGGTGTCTTATGTGAATAAAGATTAAATACAGTACTGTACTGCATTTTGTTTTTAATATATTGGCTGTGTTCCTCAGTTCATTTTTGTGCATGCAGTACAATATTTACAGCTATAGTTAATGTCATTTTCTTAGGTGCCAATCATATGAGGGTGGATTCAGTGGAACGCCTGGCATGGAAGCTCATGGCGGCTACACTTTTTGTGGCTTGGCAGCTCTCACCCTCCTGCATGCACACCACCTCTGTCACACACCAGCTCTTCTGGTCAGTGAACTTTCATTGTTTGTCACTATTGTAATATTTTAATCTTATGTTTTTCAGCATAATGATATTAGATGTTCTGGTAACTATTGTTGGTATTTGATTAAGGCTTTTTTACTTGTTATTATGAAGCAGGAGAGTTCAGTCTTATGTGATCTCAGTAGCTTACCCCATAGTGAAGATGGGTCACAAGGTCCACTGTATGCATTGCATGTGCCATGGGCATGGGAAGTGATTGGGATGGGCATTTGTTAATATAATGTAGTGGGTGGGAACTTTGAAATTTGTTTTTACTATTTTATCTCTAGGCTTTACATGGTCAGGTAGAACTGTTACCAGGTCATTTTGTTTATAAAATGAATGAGCTAAACTCTGTCAGGGGACATAGTTTCTTGTACCATTACTATACAGGAGGGCCCCTTTTGCATGACTCTGAAGTTCCTGACCCCGTACAGTAATCAGAAATCTCTGGCAGGTGGAAAAGTGTGTTTTTCATTATCGAATGCATCTAAAATGCCTGATAACGTGCTAAATACCACTCACAGTATATACAATACTTACCTTAAAATATGGTGCTGGTTGCCCTTCTCTTATGCCAACTGTTGTAAGAAAACAGTGGAAAAGCAGTAAAAGAACTCAGCATAATGAATAATGGCTTAGTTGAAAGCCAACCAAAATGTAAAACACCAAAAAGAGGGTTCTGTATATGTAGGGCCCTCCTGTAATTGGTCCTTTCTGAAAGTTGGACTAGCATGAATAGTGTAAAGAGGAGCTCTGCTTTCTGCATCTGCTAGAAAAATGACAGGATGGATAATGAGAACCTTCAAAACGAGGGATGCCAAGCCCATGATGACACTCTTCAGGTCACTTGTTCTACCTAGCTGGAATATTGCTGCACACTAACAGCACCTTTCAAGGCAGGTGAAATTGCCGACCTAGAAAATGTACAGAGAACCTTCATGGCGCGCATAACGGAGATAAAACACCTCAATTACTGGGAGCGCTTGAGATTCCTGAACCTGTATTCCCTGGAATGCAGGCGGGAGAGATACATGATTATATACACCTGGAAAATCCTAGAGGGACTAGTACCGAACTTGCACATGAAAATCACTCACTACGAAAGCAAAAGACTTGGCAGACGATGCAACAACCCCCCAATGAAAAGCAAGGGTGTCACTAGCACGTTAAGAGACCATACAATAAGTGTCAGGGGCCCGAGACTGTTCAACTGCCTCCCAGCATACATAAGGGGGATTACCAACAGACCCCTGGCAGTCTTCAAGCTGGCACTGGACAAGCACCTAAAGTCGGTTCCTGATCAGCCGGGCTGTGGCTCGTACGTTGGTTTGCATGCAGCCAGCAGTAACAGCCTGGTTGATCAGGCTCTGATCCACCAGGAGGCCTGGTCACAGACTGGGCCGCGGGGGCGTTGAACCCCGGAACTCTCTCCAGGTAAACTCCAGGTAAAACCATACAATAATTTACCCACCCATCTTTAATTTGCTATGGCATACTTGGTACTATATTTTTAAACAAGTTGGAATAAGAAAATATTGTATAATGTGACATGCTGACAGGGTACATGGTACAGATAGACACTGTTCTGAAGTTGTTATTAATGCCAAGTGAATGTATGCAAGAAATTATATATACAGTATAGGCAAGCCCCGCTTTACAGCGCTTTGCCTTACAGCATTTCACTAATACAGCGTTTTTTCAGTTATACCGACTTCATTTATTCAGACTTCCTACAATAAATATATTCACTACTCACTATAAGCTAAGGACGAAAAATATTTTAAGTAATGTGTGTACTGTATATGCATTTTTTAGGCCTAACTATATTGCTCACTTAATATATGATAGTATATATGTGTTATCATACTTTTATATTCATCAGAAAGTGAAAAAAAGGCTGTGATTTATTCACTTTACAGCAATTTTTGCTTTACAGCAGTAGTCTGGAACCTAACCTGCTGTATAAGCAGGGTCTTCCTGTATAAATGAAAAATGTGTACAGCTATTTCACATGTGTTAAAGAACATTTTGACATAACATTGGGTAGTAGTAGTAGTTAAGGGTATTGGGTAGAATGTAGATAGTGTAATACATCCATAGGAGAATGTGGCTGGCCTGTGATCATTAAATGTAATTCTAGCTTTTCACCAACAAGGGTAGGTGTGATAAGTGGTTGCTGAAGACACATACCAGAGTGTTATGTAGACTAACACTTTTTCTAGTTAAACATAGTTTGCACTTGTGTACATTCCAGCCGTATTAGCATGTGTTAAGACATGTCTGTATCCTGTACACTTCTGGCACTGACTCTTCTGCTCTCCTTTATTTGAGAATTGCTCTTAGGAGCATTTACCTAATGTAATAATGTATTATATGGAACATATTATTACGGTTTACTAAATTTAAAAAACCAAAAGCTTTCATTTTTCTTTTTAGGTCACCCTCCCTCAGTGGGATATGGCTGGTTCATTAAAAAGAAAATATTTAAGTATTATGATGATAATAATAATGTTTTAATAAGCTTGTGAGGCCATCATATCAGTTTATTTGCTAAATTTTCTATCTATATAGAAAAGATTAGAGTTCAAACTCTTTCAGAAATATAAGGGATCTCAGTATTGGAGTATTAGGGCAAAGATTAGGTTTGGTCAGGTGACTGGAGTACTTGTGGATTAGGAGAATGTAACCATGCTGTTTTTTATTATTTGTTGATTGTGAATCCTGTTTTCAGAGGTGGGCGGTAAACCGTCAGATGCGTTTTGAGGGAGGCTTTCAAGGTCGCACAAATAAACTAGTGGATGGTTGCTACTCTTTTTGGCAAGGAGGGCTATTCCCAATACTGCATACTCTTCTGACTCAGGAAGGTAATATCATTTTAGCATCTTTTAATATTTTTTAACACTGCCCATCTCCCACTGAGGTAGGGTGACCCAAAAAAAAAAGAAGAAACATTTTCACCATCACTTACTCTATCCTTGTCTTACCAGAGGCATACTGATAATACAATTCAGATACCCATCCAAACTGCAAATATCCCCACCTCTCCTTCAGAGTGCAGGCACTATACTTCCCACCTCTAGGACTCAAGTCCAGCTAACTGGTTTCCCTGAATCCTTTCATAATTGTTACCTTGCTAACACTCCACCAGAATGTCGTCATAAAAACCATTTGCCTCCACTCGTATATAACATTCCACCATCTTCTGATGTCCAGGCATCATAACTTTCCCACCTCTAGACTCTTAGACCAGCACTGTTTCCCTGAATCCTTCATAAGATTGTTCACATTCTATTCACTTCACCCTAAATGTTCAAGTCATAAAACCATTGCCTCACTCGTAATAAATGCTTACACACATCTTCTGGATGTCCAAGCCTTGCATACAAAACTATTACCACATGACCCATCCAACCTTTCTTAAGACCTTACCCTAAATCCTTGCCACTACGATTTGTACATCCTAAAGTCTTTCTTTAGCTTATCCTCTCTCTAATGAATTCATCATATTTATCATCTGTAGAGCAATTTACAGTATATTATTTCAAGAAAATTTTATTTTTTAGTTTCTGGATTCACATTCTTAAAACCATTTATGTCAAACACGAATGATAAATTATGAAAGCCATTCTTTTCTTGGATAGATAAAGCATACGTACTGAACATACAGGCAGGCCCCGCTTATACACCAGACTAGGTTTTGGACTACTTTATTTATATATATACATGTATATAGCATGCCATATTGGAGATTAATCATTACTAGTTGTGTTTGTTTATTGTCTCAGTGTGCAGGGGCTATAAAGATCATTTTGAAATACAAAAAGTGAAAAACATGTAGCTTAAAATTATTGCTCAAATCAGAATAGTAGAATTACATGGAGAGCGTTTAAATCTGTAGAGGAAGGAAGGCGGGGTAGGGGTTGTCCTCGAAAAGGTTGGAAGGAAGGGGTAAGGGAGGTTTTGTGGGCGAGGGGCTTGGACTTCCAGCAGGCGTGCGTGAGCATGTTCGATAGGAGTGAATGGAGATGAATGGTATTTGGGACCTGATGATCTGTTGGAGTGTGAGCAGGGTAATATTTAGTGAAGGGATTCAGGGAAACCGGTTATTTTTATATAGCCGGACTTGAGTCTTGAAAATGGGAAGTACAATGCCTGCACTCTAAAGGAGGGGTTCGGGATATTGGCAGTTTGGAGGGATATGTTGTGTATCTTTATATGTACATATACTTCTAAACTGTTGTGTTCTGAGCACCTCTGCAAAAACAGTGATTATGTGTGAGTGAGGTGAAAGTGTTGAATGATGATGAAAGTACAGTGGACCCCCGCTTAACGATCACCTCCCAATGCGACCAATTATGTAAGTGTATTTATGTAAGTGCGTTTGTACGTGTATGTTTGGGGGTCTGAAATGGACTAATCTACTTCGCAATATTCCTTATGGGAACAAATTCGGTCAGTACTGGCACCTGAACATACTTCTGGAATGAAAAAATATCGTTAACCGGGGGTCCACTGTATTTTCTTTTTGGGGATTTTCTTTCTTTTTGGGTCACCCTGCCTTGGTGGGAGACGGCTGACTTGTTAAAAAAAAAAAAAAAAAAGAAAAAAAAAATCAAGATGATCAGTATTATAAATTATAATTGTTGCAATCAAAACTAAACACTAAACCCAAAAGGATTATACAGACAGTATTATAGAGCAGGAAATTGTATGCATATTTAATTGACAACTTATTAAAGCCTGTGTTAGGCTTTTTTTCCTCTCAGTGGCTATCTTCGGCCCAGGCAGGGTAACCCAAAGAAGAAAACCCATTCATGCTTCTTGCCAGGAGTGTGCTAACATAACTTTTGCATTGTAAGATATATTTTGGATTAGAGAATGAGAACTACCTTGACTGTCTTAATGCAACTGAACTGTATTTACTTGACATTGTTTAATAAAATATTTATATTGTAGATGCAGTAAATATCAGCGCTGAACATTGGATGTTCCATCAAGAGGCACTTCAAGAATATTTACTATTATGTTGTCAGCATCAACGAGGTGGACTCATTGATAAACCTGGAAAGTATGTTTTTGTCTCTACTCTGTATATGATCTGTGACCCAAATGTCTTAGGCTGGATATGTTAAATATTGTGCTATCACTAATGATTGTAAAAGGAAGAAATTATCTGAATATTTTTTTGTGTAAAGGTAGAAAATTGAAAGCGAACATAGATAAGAGTAAGGTGATGAGGGTATCAAATGATTTAGATAAAGAAAAATTAGATATTACATTGGAGGGAAGGGTATGGAAGAAGTGAATGTTTTCAGATATACAGTGGAACCTCTGCTTGCGAATTTAATCCATTCCATGACCTTGCTCATAACTGGATTTGCTCATTTGCAGAGTCAATTTTCCTCATTTAAATTAATTGAAATGCAATTAATCCATTCCAGTGGAATTCAGTACTAAAATAATTTTGCTAATATCAACTCTACTGTTTATTTATCTATCACAATTCATCTAATATGACATATTGAACAATATAAATAACATTGAAACCTGATTTATACTCTAAAATGAATAAAATATGTCATTCATGTATTGGTTTGGGCAGTGTCGGCGGTGGATGAGAGTTTGTCTGGAGACCGGACAAAATACTTCTTGAATATTTCGCATTCGTCATCTCTACGGCTTATTTATCTATCACAATTCATCTAATATGACATAACAAGCAATATAAATAACATAGAAACCTGATATATACTCTAGAATGAATAAAATATGTCACTATATATGTGTGACGATGGCGGCGGCCGACGAGTGCTTGTCTGGAAACAGGACAAAATACTCCTTGAATATTTCGCTATAATCAACTCTACAGCTTATTTATCTATCACATTTCATCTAATATGACATAAACAATATAAATAACACAGAACCCTGATATATACTCTAGAATGAATAAAATATGTCATTATGTAACAGGTGGAGGCGCCACAACTGCTCCCTCTTTGTTGTGGTAAACACTGCCAAATAGTGACGGCCTTTTGAAACTGTCTATTATTATAATTATTGTTATGTAGTACATTATTATTATATATATTTTAATATCCTAGGTAGTAGGTTGGTAGACAGCAACCGCCCAGGGAGGTACATAACCGTCCTGCCAAGTGAGTGTAAACAAAGCCTGTAATTTTTTTCATGATGGTATGGATGTGCTGGTGTCCTTTTTTTGTCTCATGAACATGCAAGTTTTCAGGTACGTCTTGCTACTTCTACTTACACTTAGGTCCCACTACACATACATGTACAAGCACATATATACAAACCCCTCTGGGTTTTCTTCTATTTTCTTTCTAGTTCTTATTTTGTTTATTTCTCTTATCTCCATGGGGAAGTGGGAACAGAATTCTTTCCTGGTAAGCCATGCGTGTTGTAAAGGCGACTAAAATGCCGGGAGCAAGGGGTAGTAACCTCTTCTCCTGTATATATTACTAAATGTAAAAACAAGAGAAACTTCGTTTTTCCTTTTGGGCCACCCGCCTCGGTGGGATAAACGGCCTGTGTGGTTGAAAGAATATTTTATATATTATTATTATTATTATATTATTAGTTATTATTATTATTATTATTATTATTTATTATAATTATTATTATTTTATTATTATTATTATTACTAGGTAGTAGGTTGGTTATCATCAACCACCCAGGGAGGTACTACCGTCCTGCCAAGTGAGTGTAAAACGAAAGCCTGTAATTGTTTTACATGATGGTAGGATTGCTGGTGTCCTTTTTTCTGTCTCATGAACATGCAAGATTTCAGGTACGTCTTACTACTTCTAATTACACTTAGGTCACACTACACATACATGTACAAGCATATATATACATACCCCTCTGGGTTTTCTTCTATTTTCTTACTAGTTCTTGTTCTTGTTTATTTCTTTGTTTATCTCTATGGAGAAGTGGAACAGAATTCTTCCTCTGTAAGCTATGCATGTTGTAAGAGGCAACTAAAATGCCAGGAGCAAGGGCCTTGTAACCCCTTCTCCTGTATAAATTACTAAATTTAAAAAGAGAAATTTTCGTTTTTCTTTTTGGGCCACCCTACCTTGGTGGGATACGGCTGGTTTGTTGAAAGATTATACGTATTATTATTATTACAATATAAATAATTTGTAATTTTTATTCACACCAAAAATATAAGATTTACTGTTATGCAGACTACTGCCTTACTGCGGTAACATTCATTAACAACTGGGACCTCTTCTATGGCAGAAATGACATGTATGCCAGGGATGGGGTTCACTTATCTAGGTCTGGGGTGGTAGCACTGGCAACTGCAGTGGAGGGAGCAGTTAGGACTTTAAACTAGGAATAGTTAGTGGTATGGGTTTTGGCAGGAAAACAGTGAAGTCCCAGTGTAGTAATATTACGAGTTCTAGGGAAACTAGTAATAAGCAGAACGAGGTAGATATTGAAAAGCCAGGGACTTTGGGTGATAAGGACAGTAATAGGTTTAGTAGAAAAACAGAAATGAGCAGGAAGGGTAAAGAGAAAGGAGAGTCTTTCAATGTTTATTATGCTAATTGCCGTAGTGCTAGGAATAAGATGGACGAGTTGAGATTAGTTGCTAGTGCAGGTAACATTGATGTATTTGCCTTAACTGAGACGTGGTTTAATTCAAAAAGTCGGGACATGCCTGCGGAATGTCGTATTCAGGGTTTTAAATTGTTCCAAGTAGATAGAAGTATCGGGTAGGGGGGTGGGGTGGCATTGTATGTCCGAGATCGCTTGAACTGTGTTGCATAAAAACGGGTATTAAGTCTGAAGTAACACATACAGAGTCTGTTTGGATAGAATTTTCAGAGGGGGCATGAAAAACTGATTTTAGGAGTGATATACCGTCCCCCAAACTTAGATAGGGACCAAGGGAGACTACTATGGGAGGAAATTGTTAAGGCCACAAGGCACGATAATGTAGTAATTCTAGGAGACTTTAACTTTAGTCATATTGATTGGAATTTCTTGACTGGGAATTTAGAATCATACGACTTCGTAGAAGTAGTTCAGGATTGTTTTTTGAAGCAGTTTGTGACAGAACCTACAAGGGGAAATAACCTGCTTGACTTAGTTATGGCAAACAATGAATCCCTTGTTAATAATTTAGAAATTTCAGAGGAACTGGGTGCTAGCGACCACAAATCAATTACATTTAGCATTGAATGGAAGTACGATAGTAGCGATAACTCAGTAACAGTCCCAGATTTTCGCTTAGCAGATTACGATGGGCTTAGAGAACACTTATCATCTGTTGACTGGGGTAACGAAGTGAGCTATCAATATGACAGTTTTCTGAACACTATACATGCTGCTCAAAGAACGTTTATCCCATATAAAGAAATTAGATCAAATAGAAATGACCCAAAATGGATGAATAATAGGCTCAAATATCTACTAGGGCATAAGAAAGGAATTTATAGGCATATCAAAAGAGGTGAGGGTCATCTTATGAATCAGTATATTGACATTCAGAGGGACATTAAAAAGGGGATAAGAAAAGCTAAAAGGGACTATGAAATTAAAGTTGCTAGGGATTCTAAAACTAACCCAAAAAGTTTTTTCCAGGTCTATAGAACAAAAGTTAGAGATAAGATAGGTCCCCTTAAAAATAACTATGGGCACCTTACTGACAAAGAGAATGAAATGTGCTCGATTTTTAATAATTATTTTCTCTCAGTTTTTACACAGGAAGACACTAACAATATTCCAGTAATTAATTTTTATAGTTGGCTAGAAGAAGATAAATTATGTAACATCACAGTCACTAGTGAAATGGTTGTGAAGCAGATAGACAGACTGAAGCAAAATAAGTCGCCGGGTCCTGATGAGGTTTTTTCAAGGGTTCTTAAGGAATGCAAAATGGAACTCTGTGAACCATTAACTAATATTTTTAATTTATCTCTTCAAACAGGTGTAGTGTCTGATATGTGGAAGATGGCTAATGTAATTCCTATTTTTAAAACAGGGGACAAGTCGTTACCGTCAAATTACCGCCCAATAAGCCTGACCTCAATTGTAGGCAAATTACTAGAGTCAATTATAGCTGAAATTATAAGAAGCCATCTCGATAAGCATAGCTTGATTAATGATACTCAGCATGGATTCACAAGAGGCCGGTCTTGTCTAACTAATTTATTAACTTTCTTCAGTGAAGCTTTTGAGGCTGTTGACCACGATAAAGAATTTGATATTATTTACTTAGATTTTAGTAAGGCTTTTGATAGAGTTCCGCACCATAGACTGTTAAAGAAAGTGGCAGCTCATGGCATTGGGGGAAAAGTGCTCTCGTGGATCGAGTCATGGCTCACTGACAGGAAGCAGAGAGTGTCCATAAATGGGGTTAAATCCGAGTGGGGATCTGTAACAAGTGGCATTCCACAGGGATCAGTCTTGGGCCCGTTGTTGTTTATAATATATATCAATGATCTTGATGAGGGAATTACTAGTGATATGAGCAAATTCGCCGATGACACAAAGATAGGTAGGATAATTGATTCAAACGTAGATGTTATGGAACTTCAGGAGGATTTAAACAAACTCTATTCTTGGTCAGAAAAGTGGCAAATGCAGTTCAATGTAGATAAAAGCAAGGTTCTGAAGCTTGGGAGTGCCCATAACCCTAGTACTTATAAGTTAAATGATGTAGAACTTAGCCATACAGATTGCAAAAAGGACTTGGGGGTTATGGTGAGCAGCAACCTTAAACCAAGACAGCAATGCCTAAGCGTACGTAATAAGGCAAATAGATTACTGGGATTTATATCAAGAAGTGTAAGCAACAGAAGTCCAGAGGTCATACTGCAGCTTTGTACATCATTAGTAAGGCCTCACCTAGATTATGCAGCTCAGTTCTGGTCTCCATATTACAGAATGGACATAAATTCGTTAGAAAACATTCAGCGTAGGATGACTAAATTAATACATAGCATTAGAAATCTTCCTTATGAAGAAAGATTGAAGACTCTTAAGTTACATTCACTTGTTAGACAAAGAATGAGGGGAGACCTGATCGAAGTG